AAATTTGATGACTTAATGAATGTCTTTCAAATGCATGTCAACATTTTTTTTTTTTAAATCCACTTTTGGAGTGAGTGGACGAATGAAAACCACATTCAGAGTTAGAAATTTGTTTGTTCGAAAAAAAAATTCCATCCTGCTCCTTCCAATTTTCTTGTCAAGGTAATAGAAAACGAAGTTTGATCTCACTAATGATTAGAAAATTGATCCTAAACACTCCAAAAACAAAAATTTTTTGAACAAAATTTTAATAGTGTATGACCTTTTGTGTTTATTACCTAATAAGTTGCCAACTGGGAACAAATATACAGGATGGGTCTTTGTAGTTTTTACAGGTTGTATCTGTGTTCTAGGTCAATAACACACCAGATGTGAATGTAGGAATAATTTTTTGTGTGTGTAATTCTCCCGGACTTGGATCACAAAAATCAATAGATTACAAAAAAAGGGTATAAAAAACAATCAATAATGGATATATAGTGAAAAATATATTAAAATATATGTGTAAAAAATTCTACTGTGTGGCTGCTGCTCCTACAAAGGTTCTAAGTAGAGATGAGCGAATTATTCAAAAATTCGGTTCGGCTGATTCGCCGAATTCGCCGAATAAATTCGCTTTGAGCCGAATATATTCGCTGCGAATTTAACTTATAAAAAGGGTGTTTCTAGGCTTCAGAGAGCCTTTATATTAGTGCAGAACACTGTACCTTTAATTTAAATGCCCTTGGAGTCTGCTGGGGAAGAGAAATAATACTGTCAGTCAGTATGACATGCAGATGAGTGCCGTCGATCTTAGAATCACCGCACACTTCACTCATTTGGGCAGTCACGGGGCCAAAACCAGAGTGTGGAGCCACAGTGTGGCGGTGGAGGCAGCAGCAATGGGAGGCCATACAGCACCCTATGACAAAATGGAACCCACCAGCAGTGTGAGGAGACCTGAAAGTGGCACATGGCAGAGTGTGGCGATGGAGACAGCAGCAATGGGAGGCCGTACAGGGACCCATGACACACTCTGGACCTGGCAGCAGCATGAGGAGGCGGTACAGGGGCCCATGACAGATTACGGGCCTGGCAGCAGCATGAGGAGTCGGTACGGGGGCCCATGGCAGATTACGGGCCTGGCAGCAGCATGAGGAGGCGGTACAGGGGCCCATGGCAGAGTGGCGGAGCGTAAGCAGCTAAAATTGAAGGCCATACAGAGGCCTATGTTAAAAAGTCCCCCCAGCAGCAGCGTGGGGAGACGACTATCAAGAGTCCAATGGCAGAGTGGCGGAGCAGAAGCAGCTTCAATTGAAGGCCATACACAGGCCTAGGTTTAAAAGTCCCTCACAGTTAATTCCAATAACGAACTCTACTCCCCCTTAATACACACAGGTCTGTCTCTCTTGAATGACCGGAGGCTAATGGAGAATTCTAAGATGGCCGCGATTTATAGCTCCACCATTACACAGTGCTGGCTGGCTGCTGATTGGCTAATGCGATCACATGTCATGAATGCATTATGGGTCAGCGCGCCTTGTCTGCGCGCCTTCCCAGAGATCCCCGCCCCATCTTCTCTGTCCATTTTCTCCGTCGCCACACATGTCGCCGCCATTTTTGGGAAAATTCGATTCGTGCATCCGAAGTTTGCTAATCTTCGGATTCGTCGCGAATAGAATTTTTCCAAATCTTCGGAACGAATTCCACTTCGTCATGTTCGATTCGCTCATCTCTAGTTCTAAGCCTTAAATGAATATAATACAAACTTACAGCGCTACCCTCTACTAGTGTAAAGTAAACATTCCACATAACCCCAACGTATATAGGTGTATACAATCTCCACTCTGACCATATGAATAAATAAAATAACATAAAAAATACTATGGAAAATATATAATTTGTGCCCAAACATGCTTGGTGTCCAAACACAGTCTCTATAGAATTGTAATAAATATCAGTGCAGTTCAAATCAAAGTGCTCTGTGCAATCCACTCTCCAAAAGAAGGTGCTGGTATCACAGCTCCCCTCCTTTGCTTCCCCACTCACCAACAGTTGTTGACTGCAGAGCAATAGAAGTCAATATGTGCTTTAGTTGCAAGAGTTCTATGGCTGGGCTCTGATCTTCTCAATTATCCATTGCTTCTTCCACTTAAATGCTGTACTCAGCAAGGTATACAGGAATGATAACCAAGAAAAAAAAACGTATAGCATAATATCGTTTTATTGAATCAGTAAAAGGATTAAAATTACACTTACATTGTAAGTAATAAAACAAGCTAAAATGCCATATCGGAAATGCCACCTCAGTGTGCATTCCAGCTATCGCATTTTGTGGACAGCTGGGTTGTCCCCAGAGAAGTAAAAGATGGTAATTCTTTCAATGGGGACACTAGTTCTGGTGACCTGGAGGTCCCCAAGAAATTCTCTTAATTTGCAGGGATTTCCTCTCACTTCCTGTTTGGCTATGGGACAGGAAGTGAAGGGAAATCTTTTAAATGTAACACAAATGATGGAAAAAAATCTGACAGAGGTTATAATCCTCCCTAGCTCTATCCAAAATGAAAAAAAGTTTTGCCTATACGTCTACTTTAACAGAAGGAAAACAAGGAATATTAGAATATGTGTTGAGAAATTTGAGCATAAATAACAATGAGTTCTGCTACCAGCTGTTGGTTAGCATCCTGTTGCAGAGAACATGATTTGACTCAGAATAGGTAAAATAATATTTTGGGGCAGCACTGTGGAATTTGTACGAAGTAAAAGATAACACTCAAGCAGAATGCAATTTTCTGACCTTTTCTTACAACTAAAAAGATTGACCCCTTCAACTGTTTATACTGCAACAAACCTTCAGCCATTACCTGTTAAAAAAAAAAAAAGATTTTTAATGTTTCAAATTTACATTGGCAGATTCCATTCTAATGTAAAAAATGGGATATTACTTTTTTCATTCTGTTTTTTTAAGCAAACAGCATTTGGAAAATCATATATGTTCCACGCCAACATTATTTTTACAATACCAAGGATATTGATATTAATCATAAAGTTCAAGCATACAACGTGTTAGTATTTATTTGCATTGAAATCAGTGACAGATACAGGGCAATATTAGAATGAAGACGAACACTTGGGTAAGGATAAAAAAAATATACAGTTACATTGGTAATTTCTGATGTAACAAGGTAAATTATAAAGACATATGATTTCATAATATTACATTTTATCTGGCTTCATGAAATCTGGTAGATTGAAAAAAGACCATAATGGTATACCTTGAATTGCTCCTCATATGGAAAATAGGTGGGGTGAAAGTATACTCAAAAACATAAATCCAGTAGCAAGAAGGGAGGTTTCTTTTTGTACTGAAAATGGCGCAGTTGTTAGGTTTTTTTATTCACCAAATCTTGTAAAATAATTGAGCCATATATGGCCAACCTTACATTGGCGCACCAAGTAATGGAGGGTTAATGTTCCTTTCAACATTGTACAAGAGCAAGCCCCAGCAGTTGGCCCTCATGTAAAATCAGGCTACAAATGCACAATTTTCAGAAAGTTTTGATGTCCTATAGAGTATTTAGTATTAGGATTTTTCCCCTCCAGTGAAATAGCCAGGCTTATAAATATGCTAATCAAAGTGTTTGTTCCCTGCAGAGCCCGCATTGCCAGCTAGACTCAATATATAGCAGGATTTACATTCAGCAGCACAGCATTCTGTGCCGCTGAGGCACCTGCATCAACTTAGATTGGCTTGAGCCCCTATTGTTGGATCTTCTATAAAGCCATATAATTCAGCACCATTACTCTTTCATCTTCGCATGAAATAGAAAAATCCATCCCTTCTAAAATGTATGACTACGTGGTGACCTCAGCCACTTATTGCTTAAAACCTACGCCACAAATGGGAAAATAATTGTCCTGTCTCAATATTCCTCGCACAGAAGAAAGCAGTTGAGAATGGAAAACAATGTGACATGTTTATTCTGGCAATTATTTAAGGTATTATCATGCACTAGATTTAGATATGTGTTTTCCAATTTTTGCCCTTCATATGTCAATAAAAACATATAAAATTGTAGCATTTGGATTCATTGTTCTGTCTGATCGTATAGATCTAATGGTTTATTTGGAAAGCTGAAGCTTTTTTTCTCACTGCAAAAATATGTGAGCTATAAGAGGAGCAGACTGTAGTGGAAGGGATGTATATTATTAGTCTTCTTAGTAAACTGCTAATGGAAAAAATATCCTAGTTTATTGATGTTTCATAGCTCTTCTGTGCTAAATCTGTCAATTTAGGACTACTTCGCATTCATGCACATGACTGATCAAAGTGATGTGCACCTCATGGCGGTTTTGTTTGCTCCTGGGCACACCTCATGCTATTTATACTACAGCTTGCCAGGGCTACAAGATACTAAGTACTGATCTTAGAGTTTATGAAGTGCCCAATACCTGCTGCTGGCTGTTGTGTGATGCACCAAGCTCATGACGGTTCATGGAGATGGTTATGCAATTTATACACAGCACCAAATCCAGAATGTGTTTTCATTCACATTTGGAGTAGCAGGTCAACAAACTGGTTAACTAAAACTGGAGAGTACAAAATCTGGTGCAGCCCTGCATGGTAGACAAGGCCGGCACTCCCACTAGGCAAACTAGGCGGCTGCCCGGTTCTCACTGCCATCGAGGGGCGCCTGGGAGCAGCACAGGCCAGCACTCTCTCTGTGTGGGACGCCGCCACGTCATGAATGCTCCTCTAGCTGAGGGGCGGCAGAGGGGGAGGAAGAAAGGACAGTGGAAGATGCCGGGTGTTGGGGGCCAGTGTAGCCGTTCCTTCCAGTGTTCCTCTCAGACCCAGTCCCTTACTGCAAGCCGGCTGGTGGCTGCTGATCACTGTGGAGTTTCAGCCCTTCTCTTCCCGTTCATCAGCGGAGGTGGAGCTGCACCTGTGGAGGAATGTAATGTCTGACTCTGATGTCTCGTGTGTCTGTGTGAGTATGACCCGGCTGGCTGGCCATTACATGTGCAATATGTCAGTGAGTGATGAGATCATCATGATCCCCCATCCTGCTCTTGTAGTGCCTGCTGGGCCTGCTGATCTGTGTCAGTGTTGGTGATGGTGTGTTGTGTCAGATCTGTCACTGTGTGGGATCACTCAGTTCAGGTGTTCTGTGTGTGTGGGCTGGGCTGCCTGCTGTCACATCGTTTTATTTCCCTCCATTGCCTGGGGAATTCCAGACTGGGATCTATCAGAGTGTGGATCCATCATCCTCCACTCACTGCAATTGTGACCCTGCTACTGCCAGCCACAGATACAATCCGTCTGTGACACTGACTTTGTCTTTAATATTGGTGCTGGTGGCATCTTATGGCACTTATTTTTGTAAATTAAAAGAAATTTAGCAGTACATGTTTTGTTGATTTAATATAGTCTACAGTTTTTTTAAACATTTTTTTTTGGGGGGGGGGGGGGCGCAAGTAGCTGGTCTTGCCTAGGGCGCAAAATAGTCTAGCACCGGCCCTGATTGTAGCCAATCAGCTTTTAACTTCAGCTTGTTCAATTGAGCTTGGACAAAAAAAAACTGGTTTCTGTGCAGATTTTTCACTTTGCAGTTTTAGTAAATCAGCCCCATAGTATCATAGTGGACTGCGCACTACAATGCATAATATTCATTGCACTACACTGCATTAACAATGTATCCAATTTTTTGGTGCATTAAAGCTGAATTTTAGCCATAGCAATTCTCTACGAATTTAGTGAGCTAACTTATCTGTAATGAAGTATGTTCCTTGTCATGCAGGCAGCTGGATCAAGGAGAAATCTTCACTGCAGGGATTCCCTGTCCTCTTCCTGTCTCTGAACCTCTGGCACTGCAGGGGTTAATAGCTTTGGGTCTTCTGTGGGAAGAGGACTGGGCATTCTTGCAGTGAAGGTTTCCACAGGATTCGGCTGCCTGCATGATTTTGGACAACTTTTATTACAGGTACATTTTCTCATCAAAAGCTATAGACAATGCTTTGTTTAATGGCTAAACATCATCTTATAGCTATGCAACCAGTTTATTGAAAATTAACAGCCTTCCTAAATGCAGCACACCATAATGCACAGTAACGTGTTGTATTTACACAATGCGTAATGTAAAGGGACTCTACTATTTTGGTTGAACTATATTTCTTATGTAATATATATATCATATAGCCTTGCAATGAGATCCAGTGGGCTTGGTCCAGTTTATTTCATAGGCAGAACTGTCATTTAGGTGTTCATTAGTGTAGATTCAAATAGTACTTACTGGAGTTCCCCTTTAATTACACATCTATCTGTGGATCAGCATTGCTTAGCTGGGAGCAAATGGGTTTTTGCACCAAACATTTTTTTTTTTCTTCTTCTTTGATCCTTCAAAAGATTGTCTTTGCCAGCCACCTCTTTATCAAGCCAAACCACAAAAAGACCAGATAAGAGCAGCCTCTGATCTGAATCTATTAATAAGAAAATTATGCTAATCACTCGGTGATTGTGGAGCCAACCCAAGGAGAAGCTTACCTAAGGAGGAGCTGACCTGGAATCTAATTAGCAAAATTATTAATTACAGGACTGTAAAAAAAATGTAAAAGGTGGCTTGCGGGAGAAGTTTGTGCAGAGAAAACAGATTAATAATGAAATTAATTTTGAGATGTTTGTTGTTCGCATATCCTACAGCAGAAAATTTGGTTAGGAACAATTAAAAAACTGGATGGTTTAGGACAGGAGGAAAAAAAAATGTGCTATAGGATTTGAAGGAAGATCAGCTTTTTTTATTTGGTACCGCTGATAATTTATCAGATACTGTATGTTGTAAATGTTAGGAATGTAAAATATATGTAAGCCCTAACTAAATCACATTTTGTTTGCTAATGCACAGTGAAGTTTATTTACTAAAGCTGGAGATTGCAAAATCAGGCTCATTTCTGCATAGAAACCAATCAGCTTCTAACCTCAGCTTGTTCAATTAAAGTAGTTGTAAAGGCTGAAAGTTTTTTACCTTCATGCATTCTATGCATAAAGGTAAAAAAACTGTGTGCAGCAGTCCCCCCAGCCCCCTCAATACTTACCTGAGCCTCATCGTGATCCAGCGATGTGAATGACAGCCTTGGCTGTCCTGGGTCTCTGCCTCCTCATTGGCTGAGAAAGCAAGCGGGAGCCATTGGCTCCTGCTGCTGTCAATCACAGCCAGTCAGCCATTGGGGGGGGTGTGAAGCTGCGGCTCCGTGTGAATGGGCACAGAGAGCAGCAGGTGCCCCCATAGCAAGTTGCTTGCTGTGTGGACACCTGACAAATAGGAGGTGCCAGGAGAGCATGGGGGGACCCAAGAAGGGGAGGATCCAGGCTACTCTATGCAAAACGACTGCACACAGTAGGTAAGTGGCAATACAACCTGGAAGCTGATTGGTTTCCATGCAGAAGTGAACCTGGTTTTGCACTCTCTCCAGCTTTAGTAAATAAACCCCACTGTGCTTTAGCAAATAAAATCCTAAAGTATCAACAAATGCTATTTTTGCTATTTTTTTTAAATAAATTCTATTTAATTGAGAAACAATGCTATTTAAAAAAAATTAAATATGCATTTTCATCTTTTTCCATCCTTGTTTGCACCACAGTGCTACTGATCTCATCCATCATCTCTGCAGCCACTTATTGTTTACTAGGGATGAGCTCAGTTGGTTTCAGATATGAGTCCAAACCTGCCTGAGCTATCCTGCCAGGAAGCTGTCAGTGCTGACAGGCAGTCATTGATGACTGAGGCATTCCTCATCCTATAGCCACATGTATGTAAAGAGTGTGTAAACATGTGACTGTGGGGAATGCCTCTACTGCTTATTCTTCTGCCTATTATTGGCTGTTGGCTTTGACAACTTCCTGGCAGGATAGCTCAGGCGGGTTCAACCTTGTGTCTGTACATACCTGAGCTCATCACTGCTATCTACATGGACTCCAACAATGATTGGTGTTTCATGGGAGGTTGGGGTCCTGATGGCGACAGCAGTGTATTAAAACAACCATACCAGAAGTTTGCTTGACAAGATAACAAAGCAGAAGTTAGATTGCAAGCCAGAGAGGAAGTGTTGTCTCCCTAAATCAGGAAGTGCCTGAACCAGTACCTCAGTGGCAGGATCACCAGTGACATTTGACATTGTATTGCTATGTACAAGTTTTTAAGAGATTGAGTAAGCATATATGTATACACCTAAGGCTCCATGTACATGGGACACTTCTGAACGATTGAAACTGACCGCTGGAAAATGTAGGTTAAAAAACGTCTGTTTAGCTGCGTTTGCATACCGTTTATGTGCGTTTATGAACGTTTGAGTTTAGAAGCGTTTTTTAAAGATAACATCAGGAGACCTTCCAAAATGCACAGAATGCACTGAAAAACAGTAAAAATGCACTGTAAAACAGAAAAACCGTAAAAAAAAAACCCGTAAAAAACAGTAAATAAAGAGAGCAGTGCAGAGAGAGCAGTATTTGTTGAGATTAGCTGTCTTTTTTTTTTTTTGTGGTGTTTGGATGTGTTCCAGATCATTTCTGTGCACAAATTATTGCAGCAGTATCTAACATATTTTCTTTCATGCGAAACCTCAAAGTATGGTGTACCAGGTCCATTTAAGTACCGGGAAAACACTTTGCGTGCATTTTTCATGATCAATAAAGGCTTTGGACAGCATCTGGAAATGTAAAAAAAAAATTCCAAACGGAAACGCTTATAAATGTAGTTAGCCGCATTTACAAGCATTTGGCGTTTGAAACGCTGATAAAATCTACTCCTGAATGCAAGTTTGGTGCGTTCAGAAAAACGACTGTAAACTCAACTGCCTGTAAACGACATAGCTTACATGGACACATAGGAAAACATTAGGGAGAGTTCAGGGGCTGCTGAAAAAAACGCAGAAAAGCTCCTAAACGTGAGTGTACATGGAGCCTAAATCTACTGCCTCCGACTGTTATGCCTGTAACAATGTGTGCATGTGGAGATGTGTACACATTATGCTTGCTGATGTGCTGAACAGATCAGTATCTCTGGGTGCAGGTATTCACACGCACATCCACTCATGCCCAGCAATTGGCCAGTCACCTTTCTTTAGTGAGATTGTTGCCAACCTTGCCTGGCCTGTTTCTAAGAGAACTGAATCAGCCATGGCTTTTCTATGATCCAGGCTTTATCTTCCATACCTCCATTGCTTTCCATTTTCTGACTGACCAGCTCCCTGGCCCTGACTTCTGACTTGTTATCTGAATAGTTTTTTTTTTTTTATTCATCTGGTACCATATCTGCCTCACTAGAGTTATATTCTAGGTAGTAATTGAGAACACTCTGCCTGACTCTATTCTACTATTTGTTTCTCTGTCCTCAGTCTCTATTGACTGTCCTTGCTTTGTCCCTGTGGAAAGAGCCATATGGCTCACTTTTTAAAATCTGGTACATAAACTTAGAGTTGCTTAATGATATACTCAAAATAGCTTGCACAGAAGGTGGCTAATAAAGGCGGAGAAGGCTGTAGCACTGGCCATCTAGTCTGAACAGGTGCCAGGCTCTTACAATAATTTTTTTTAAACTTCTTGTTCAATATATTTTATTAAAGTTTACAATACAACATGGAAAATCTAAACCATCACATGCACATATTAAATCTACAGAACTTTACAGAATTAAAAGGGCCATATCTCAAAAAGCACAATCTGAAGGATTGATTGGCCAGTTATGGATGCCAAAATGTATGAATTAATAATTTTAAACCAAATAGCCTCATATGGTCAGCATGGCACTTGCTTTTGAAGCATTTGGGAACCGACAGTTGTTGTATGAGACAGAAGAGAGGTAACATAATGCCGGATTTGTATATAATAAAAAGTTCCCATGAGGATGCCTTGTAATGATCCCCGAAATAGTCAAATAATTTGATACTGTCGGAAGTAAGAAATGAATAGACATCCGTGAAACATTTATGGATCCACTAGCTAAACCTGGTGGGGGCATCACTTCCAGGGGGAAATAATGGACACTTAGATTACGATAACGGTAAGTGAGGGGTAATGAGACCTCCTGAGTATTTTATTGAGTCACAGACTTTAAGGGAATACTCTAAGGAAGGCGTAAGCAATGCTGGCCAAAAAATAGGTGGAAGACAAATTGGTGTGGGAATGGCAGTATCATTACAAATGATCAAGTCTAGTGTCAACCAGATAGGAGTTTGTATGATAGCATGCAGTAGATAAATGGGGCTTTATTGGCCACCCTATAATAATTGATTATTATAAGTAACCCCAAGGCTGCCACTGAGCTTGTGTCGATAAAGGATGTGTTCATTATCCCTAGCCCGGGTTGTATTTCATATAAAT